ATTCTGAAGCGAGGTGGTCATGAAGGACAAGAAGCAGCCACTTAGGAACATGCAGACCTTGGGTAGGCTTCATGCTAAGTGAAAAAACATCAGCCAAGACACAAGGGGAGTCTTCAGATGGGAAGAGTCCTACCAGGCTGCTGCCAGACAGACTAATAAAGTTAATGAATAAAGGTTACACATTAAATAGGCAAGCAATGAGTCTCACATTTATATTGAAAATCAAATATAAGCTACCACTGGAAAAATAAAGTGTGAACTGAAAGCCAGAAGTCTAACTGGCATACAGAATACTGATAAACTGGGAGGAAAATGAGGAGAATCAACCGGGAGAGTAGAATCAAAACTGATTTTTATCTATTGACAAAGTTTACTGTCTCCAAAAAGGAGTAAGTAAAGCACAAGTACAGAAAGTACTGGAAATGACCTACATGCAGAAGAAGGAAAACAGCTGGGAACTACTACGAGAGTTTGAGAGGCCCAAACATTCAGAGTAATCTGACAGGCTCTGGGAAGTAAAGTCTACATTCACGTGCATTTATTCTGAGAACTACCAGATTGCTTTAAGGAGCTTGTTCCCCACCACCACCCCTTGAACTACGGAAGAACACATATGCGACTAAATTAGAGTTTGCACTGCTAGGGAAAAAAAAAAAAAAAAAAAGAAAGAAAAAAATACACATAACAAGACTTGCAAAATTTGCTGAGCAACAGCAGTTCTTTGAAGATGATGGCAGGTGGCAAATAGTTAGCATTTTTGAGGATTAGGAGTTGCAATACAGATTTTTTTTTTCTTTTCTCTCTGGATTTGCAAAAATCTCAGGCTATGTCCTACCAACAGAGACCACACCTTCCAAGACAACTCAGGAAGACAAATGCCAGAAGTTGGATTTTTTTTTCCTCCTTTCTTGTTCTGATACAATCTGAACACAGAAGGGAAGAGGGAATGCAAAGTCTGCTACAAAGAATGCAGGAAAGTGCCTAAAACAAATTCTCTGTTTAAAGTTAGACAGTAGAAAGATTACCATCACAGAGAGAACTCCATGCTTTCAGACACACAGATGTTCTGTCGCTCTCTGTGTATATAGCAAAGATACCTGAGGAGAAAGTGAGCTTTATCTTACTGCTTTGGAAATACCTTCTTCCCACTGTGATTTCGTGTGAATGATTACACCTACTTTGAACCGTGCAAACTCGAGCTCAGTAGCACCTTGCAAATACTCTTCTTTCCTGCCTCTTTGAGTAAGACCACAACCCAGATGCTGAGCCTGAGCCCTCTCTTTCTCAACATGACACACCAAACTGAGGCAGGAGGAGGGTCACATCCTGCATACAGGTGGCTGCAGGGACTTGCACACCTCTGTGTGGATTAAGCTTGGAGGTCACAGGACCAAATGCAGCCCAAACACAATATTGTTATTAACTCTGCAAAGCTTCATTACTGGCACCTTCTGGCTCAGCACGCCCCACAAGGACCCCCACGGTGCTCTAATACACAGAGAGGCTATCAGTCGGGTCCAGAAACTCACGCACACTCCCCCTCCTCCCAGCTCTCCCACCCCCATCTGGGGAAAATTAAGCCCACCTCAGCAGCAAAAATTTGTTTTTCGCCAGAGGTGAGTAATACGTAACTACAAAAGAGGTTAAACCAAAATAATGACAAGAGCTGAAGTTGTTCCTGAAAGAACATAAACACCATGCACAACTACCTCAAGCTTCCCCTTCTCCCTTCCTCTGAACCAGATGCAGAGGGCAAATAAGCTCTGCTTTCCAAAGCACGCCAACCTGTCCTTCTGCGAGGACCTGCACCGATAACCTGCAGGCCAGCTGGCATCCCACCTGTCCCACAGAAAAACCACAGGTCCCCATCAGAGGGGGCATGGTCAGCATCACACAGCTTTTGTTGGGACTTACTGCATTTAACCACGGCTGGCAGCTGATAGGACAGCAGGGACGAAGTACCCGGACACGAAGAAGCCCATAGGAACTTGCAGCCCGTGAGCCTTTAATCATTTTTTTCCCTTTTTTTTTTTTCTGTTTCTGAAGGCATGTGACTGGCCTTCACATACCAGAGCTGACCCCTCCCAGAGCCAGTGATTTCCTAAGAGCCGAAAAGGATGTTACCCTCCCACTTACTCATGAGAAGACGTGGTTACGCGTGTGCCGTGCATTAAAACCTCACGCCATCTAGGGTCTGCGGGCCATTAATGCTCAGGATCCCTCCACAGAGACCCAAAAGGACGGTGGTGCTGACTGCCTGCTCCCAAGATACCCTCAACATGAGGAACACCTGCTTCTTCTCCTGCAATAGACAAGCTGCATGCAGTTTCCAGGTGTAAGCCATTAACTCTCTTGCTCTCACATCCACCCTCTCCTCCTGTGCAGGACCAAGAAGAGCTGTCAGTATTTCACAGCCTGTTCCCCCATAAATTAGCGCTGGTACCAGGATGTGTCCTCCCCCCTACGCACTTTCCCACGCGCTTTTTATGTCACCGAAATACCAGCACACAGGGAGCTGCAGAGTGTTTGGTTTCAGTTTTTGTTTGCTTTCAGCTGGAAGCTGATTTCTGGAAGACAAAAAAAAAAAAAAAAAAGGAAAGAAAAAGGTGCGGGGCAGGCTTCTCATCGTGCCTGACTGCAGCTTTGCAGGATCCCCCTTGCAAGCGCCCTCCCTTGCCAATCCCTCTGCCTCCCCTGCAGGGCTGGCTGCTGCTGCTGCTGCTCCTGTGCCGAGGAGCCCTCCGGTGGCCCAGGGCTGCGCTGCAGGACAGCAGCTTCAGGGAGAGCATCCGATGCTCGGGCAGAAAGAGGCAGGCTCTCCGCCGAGGTGGTAACATCTCTGAGGCTGGTAGGGTTTTGCAGTGCTGTGGGAAATGGTGTCCTGTAGCAGAAGGAGCAAAGGATACCTCACGAGTGTCATGCGGGTGAGAAAAGCAGTTCAGGGTTGCTTCAGGCAACACAACCACGTACTGTTATTCCTCTTAGGAAAAGTACCTGCAGTTTAGGCAGGTGTTTCTGGTTCATACCAAGCATTGCAGTGACAGTGTGCCTCAATCCCCCCTTAAATAAATCTCATAGGACCCCCAGCACGCACACTGCACCCCTCAACAGCACACGACAACACCGTGGCTCCCCTCTGGCTCCCAACAGTAAGGCAAACATGATCTGCCAGCCATCTGTGCCCTGGTGTAATACAATATAACATTAGAATATCACCATGGGGGTGTGGTTAATTGAGTTATTGTCTGGAGGATTACCCATCTGGGCACATCCGTGGCTGGCAGCTCTGCTGCAGCTACGCTCTTTACCCGTACCTGCCGTAAGAGAGCGAGCTCAGGGTTTGCTCTTACCAGCACCTTGTGGATTACAACAGGAGGGCTTTGCCACAATACCACTCTTAGGAACATTTCTTTCTTCTTTGTATAGCAAGAGAAGGGAGGGGAAAGAATTTTTGAAAGCCTCTGTTGGTATTTCACTGTGGTTGCAAATTTAAACTCAATCGAACTTCATTCTGCATGAAATTCATACTAAATAGGCAAACAACATGTTAACAAGCATTACCTAAGCTCACCTCGTCTTCATTAAAACTTCTGCCTTGATAAGCCAATGTGGATCTTACCTGGTGGTACTTTTCACTATGTGGGACACTTGAGACTACAGCTGTGGGGTATCAGACCAGGGTTTGTATGTGCTGCTTGTCTTCCACTACTCCAGTCTTACGGCAATCTCAGGTTTTAGCGGAAGCACAAGCTGCCAAGTGTCAGGACTGACCTCAGTTTCTGGCTCTAAACTCCTTGTAGCAGATTAGCAGTCACTTTCTATTAATTGGCACCAAGCAGCTCAAGGTTGCACAAGATTTAAACACCCCTTTTCCTGTGAAATTGATGAAATACCCAAACTACTAAGTTCTGCCTGATCTTTTAAGGGCAAACTGTACCTTAATCCATGAAGCTGGAAAAACTACCTCTGCTCAAAGGACTTCTTTCACACTTGCACAAAAGGACTAAAACACATAAAAGACCTCCTACCACTCATGCTCTGGAATACCTAGACTAGACTAGTCCTATCTAATGGAATAGTCTAAGGGCTCTGAGATAACAGCCCGTCCCTGCAGGATGGTGACCTGAGGCATCTTCGTCATTTGTGAGGTCTCTCACCCCTCATTACTGCTGAGAAATAAAAAAACATTACTGCCTTTGGCTGTAGCTCCCCCACTTAGTGCGTTGCTGCCTCTCAATATCCCCATCTCTCTTTGACCAACACATTATGAGGGAAGTTTGCTCATAGAGCAAGTTTATATAAATACACAGTATCTTCTGACCACTTAGCCCAGTGTTTATTTCTCACATAACTCTTCTCTTACTAGGTTTCTTTGCCTCTCCCTTTACCTAAACAGAGATCTTCAGTATTTTTGCAATACTCCTTCCTCTTTCAGTCAGTTGCTACTGCACTAGTAAAACAAATCAGTTAATTAGTGCAACTGCTAGGACACAGTGGGAGCAAAACCTCGTCCCAGCTGAAGAAACCAGCAAAATTCCTACTGGTCTCATGAGAGAAAAAGCCATGCCAAAAGACACATCTATAACATCCAGATCATAAGCTGCATTTGGACATCTTGTGCATGTGCACAGATTTCATTCTTCCTAAAATTGCTGTAAGCAAATTCAGGTGTAAGAGGAGATGAACAGTGTTTATTTATAGCAGGTAGCTAACTCCTCCGGGGACAAGTCCCACAGATGCTACAATACAGGCCAGCCTTTTATTGACACAACTATGACAGAGACACCTACAAAAAACATGTAAATTTGCACTTTCTAATAAAACAGCAGGTTTGGATGGCTCTTTTCTCTTCTGCACCTGACTCTGTTACACTGAAAATCATTTGGTGTAGAAAACGTGCAGCGTGCAGAGTCATAACTACACTCTGAGACAGTCTGCTTCACTACACAGGCATCAGAACAACTAAGCACACACACAGAAAGCTTATCCACTACTTTTACCTTTCCAAACGAGGAACTTCTGTGACATCTCCTCTGAAGAGCGTTTCACTTACATCCCTTAAACCATTGGCGATGCCTTCACAGCAGCTCTTTGCTTCCCCGTCAGGGGGAAGCTGAAAGACATCCGTCTGTCCTGAGGCTGAAGTCCGTTCTAAAAACTGACTGCCCTCCTTCATACGTTGCTGGATCATCGGAGTGAGTGGCATCTCGAAGCTGAAGTAGCTGTCAGGCTCCGAGTATAACGTCTCCAGTGACTCCGCGCTGTAGTATAAAGAGGCATTGTCTAGGATGTTTTCAAACTGCGAGCTGTACAGATCAGTGGAGACGTCAGAGTGCCTCTGTCCAAGGACATCTTCATATCCTCCCACGGCGGCTTCCCCCTCCTCCATGATCCTAGAAATTAAGCACAAACAAGCTCGTTTCAGTTTGGCAGCTAGGTTTGGACCTTTGAGTGGACCTCCTTGTTTTCCACCTTTCTGGACAGAAAGGTCTGTGCTTCGTGCAGGAGACCACACCACGGACGACCCACCAGCATCTCACACTGCCTCTGCTCACAACAAGCACCATCTCCCTCTCCACGCTGTTACAGTCCTGGGGACATGAAAGGAAACAGAGTTATGGGCAAAAGCACTGCGGGGGGAGGCATGATATTGCCTAACAGTTAACACCAGATGCTAGTGCACTCACTAAATCATAAACTCTCTGTTAGCACCATCCCTGTTGGCCAGGACAGAGCCACAACCCCAGCCAGTGGCCTTGGGGGACTGGAGGAGGCCTCTCCGAAATAAGAGAGAAGCAAGAGCCCAGCTCAGGAGCCCCATGGGCCTGGCCTTCACCTGACACAAGGTGGAGAGAGCACAGTGTATGGTTACTGGCTATTTTTTTGAGCTTTCCTTCCAGCTGAGGGAAGCCAGCAGCTTTTCACATATGTTCGTTTTGCCCAAAAGCTGAGATCTGCTTGCCCTCACCCGGCAGCAGGGCCTGAGGCCTGGCAGCAGCAGATCTCAGGTGTTCATGGCACCTGTCTGCCACCAGTGCTGAAACCAGAGCCACCCCAGGCAGTAACCAAAACAAGTCCTGAGGGCCCCCAAGGGGCTGGATGCTCCCCAATGAGGCCCACTGGCCTTCCCACAGCTGTGGGGGCACCCCACACCCCATTACAGACATGGCCAGGAGCAAAGGGCAAGCAAATCAGGACGCTCTCACAAAGAACAGCCTGGGGTTCATAAATACACCTCGGTGAACAGGTAGACGACACAGAAAGCACGTCACTGCATTTACCCAGAAGTGACTTTGGCTAAATGTTTTCATTATCCAACCTCACAGAGGTGCTCACACTGTGCTTGCATGAACTTGGCTCGAAACCAGAACACCTATCAGGGCACATGCGGCCAGGCCTGTGTGTTGCCTCTGTGTAACTGTACACCATCCTGGCTACACCTGCCAGAGTTGCTTCGCCACACAATTGTTACTGGACAGACTGCAAAAGACACTTCCACACTTCCAAAGACAAGCTTGACTTCCAACTGCATCAGCACAGTGTGGACAGGACTCAGCCCAGCCTCACACACTGGCCACCACTGCACACTAACCATTACCATTTCCACCATACTGCAGACAATCTTGAGTTGCCACTGATAGCAAACCAGCAGCTCCTACAGGGGCAGGCAAAAGTCCCATGCTTGCAGTAAGAGACACCCATCCAAACCCCCACAGCCCCCAGAAGCCATCTCACCTGCCCTGGCCTCTCGCTAGCACAGCGGTCTCCTCCTCACCGCGGTTCTTTCTGTCCTTCACAAAAACTTCATCCTCCCCACTTTCATCAAGCAATGCCAGAGGAGCGGCTCCACAGGCAGCTCCCAGCTTGAGGTCTTCCCAGACCTCTCTCCCAGCACTATCCGGAGAGGCAACCAAGCCCGGGGAGACCATTGGTGGCGCAGGATGGCTGGATGTTTTGGGGAATGCCTTCCTCTCCACGGATGCGGTCTCCAGCAGTGAATGCTTCTTTTTGCTCTGCTCCTCTGCTTTTTGCAGCCATAAAATCTCCACCCCTTGAAATTCTACATGTTTGCTCACAGCTGCCTCTTTAGAGAGCCTCCTCTCAGGACCCATTTGCATTTTGCCTTGACTGTACGCTGAAAACTCCTCGAAATGCGCCCACCCTTCCACTCTGCTGGCTGCTTCCAGGTTTGTCGCAGATGGTCTATGACAGCTTGTCTCCTCTGCTGTGTGGACCTCCTCAGTTTTATTACTGGTGGCTTGCAAGGACTCGGACTGCTTTTCTCCAGTCCATATTGCAGCCAGATCTTTCCCTACGATCAAATGCATTTTTTCCTCAGCTGTTCGTTCAGATGGAAGAGGCATGTCTGAGGTTTTTTCTTGGCCTGCTGGAACTGGTTCTCTGGCTGTCTGTACATTTTGGCTGCCAGGAACGTTCTTTTTTTCCATGTGTGTCTCCGAATCAAGAGCAGTATTTGCTCCCTCTTGCACCTTTGTTGCTTCTAGCCGTCGAGAGATTTTCATAATCTCTGGCACGTTACCCGCAGGTTGTAAGCCTTCTTCCGCAGCATGCAGCTGTGCTGCCTTAGCATGAGCTCTAGACTCGTCCACAGAAGCCGCAGGCTGAGAAGGAGGCCTGCCAGGTACCTGGTGACTGTCCCGTCCTTCTGGGCTGCACGTCACAGGCTCTGCCTGGCCCTCTGATGATGTCCTCAGTGCGTCTCCACTTGGCTCTATAGTGCCGTACTCTGGAAATTCATTGATGATGGTGTGGGGGAGCAACGTGTTACTTCCATTGCCACTACCTGCCAAAAAAAAAAAAAAAAAAAGAGTGTGGATTTATCTACTTTGTGCATAAGCAAAAAGCCTAACTACCGCATCCCAGCCTTTCAGAACAGAGCAATTGTGTTTGTCCCTGCAGGGAAAATACCGTTCTGTTTAACTCATTTCTGCATGCTCTCACACTGCAGCTATCCACAACTGGTCCTCTTGCATACGAGTTTTTGGGCAGCCCTATGTTGGAAGCTTGCACTGCCGAGGAAGGAATGCCAAAAATGTCTGCTACACTTCAGAAAGGGTCCCAGTGGCCCATGAATAGTCTGAGGCCACACGCCAAACACAAAGGCTGAACGAAGCAGATACTCAGAAGTTTAACATCCATCCACAGTATGCGCCATACGTAGTGGTTTCACTTAAAAAATACTTTGAGGTCATTTTCACTTACAAAGATGAAACACCAGGAAGGTAATCAGCCACACCCTATATATCCCACAAAACCAATTAGTTAAATTATACAGCAATTAATGGGCAATTAAACTTTCTGCCAGTACTACCCTCCTCCTTTAACAACTCAGGTAACTGAAGGTCATGTTGCAGTAATGCACACATCCCAAGTAGCTTACATTTTCTGCTAAAAAAAAAGTTAATTCAGTGCTTCACAAAAAGCTCACTACCCCTCCCTTCTCATGCTATTTTTCAAACGGATGTAAACAGAGAGGGAGAGAAAACTGATGGTGGCATTTTCAAAGGAGCCGAGCACCCAGTGGTTCCCATTGTTCTTGGGTAACACAGACTCGGCTGTTCTCAGAGGGACCCATGGATGGCACACTGATGCAGATCTAGCCACCTGATATTATGGTCCAAGCTGGAGCTGAGCTTTTGGAAAAAAGCAGCAGCTGCGTTCTCTGCACACTTCTGGAAAGACATAGCCTGGAGTTTAAATTTCTTTAAACCAAACAATGAGGAGGCCAAACCCAATCCCCTACTCCAAAAAATGTCAAGGGGCACACCTCTGAAACCAGACACCCACTTGCATCTGGACACTTTGCCCTGCTGGGGGGGGCATCACTGGGTGCTGCTCTGCAAACCCATGCCTGTCTCCTCTCTGAGCTGGCCACAAGCCATTGCTGAGGGGGAAGCCATGTAGCTGTGGTTAATGATTTTCAAGGTAAAAAGGAGAGTAAGTTAACACGAGTTCAGCACCGCATGAACGTGGCTATATATCTGCCAGCAGTTTGTAAAGACAAGGAGAAGCAGGTCACACCTGGCAGCTAACTAGCCAGTAGCTCTATCCACAGGGTAAATACCACACATGGTGTGTGTGTATGCAAAGGACCAAAATGACAGACTCGGACTACACCAAACCACAGCCTCCTCCCCAGCAGGTTCTCTAGAATCTCCATGCCTTTGATTTAATCACTCCTGATTTAAACTTCAGGTTTCACCTACATGACCCGGCTGCTGTTGAGGACAGTGCCTGGGCAAAGCAGGGACCTCTGCTGCAAAAGTCACGCAGCCTCAGAGCAAAGAGAAAGGTCCCGCAGGGCTGTGAGGAGCAGAGATGCCCTGTCCACATCTGCACTGCTAGACTGCCTTTGTCACAGAGTTTCCAAGCCCACAGGTGTGGGTGTACCAGATGAGTTTGAAGAAGGCTGTGGTATCTTTTCTCCACACAAGCATCTCCAGGCACAGTGCTTTTTCTAAGTGATTAGGAGCCCCAGGTAAACAGCCCCCAGTGTATACAAATTCAGTCTCACATCCACAGAGAGCTTACGTGCTGCAGCATTAATGCTGGCTGCTGCCCCATCACTGTAGATGTCAGTAAACTCTTCTTGGAGGGCTCAGCTCTATCTACAGCAACTCTCAGCTTGCAGACCCACCAGACGGGGTGCCCCCCATGGCAGACGCCGCTCCAGCTCCAAATCCCCAGCACCACAGGGAGGCACATGGCCATGCCCCGGCCTCTGCACATCCCACAGAATCACAGAATCACAGAATTTCTAGGTTGGAAGAGACCTCAAGATCATCGAGTCCAACCTCTAACCTAACACTAACAGTCCCCACTAAACCATATCCCTAAGCTCTACATCTAAACGTCTTTTAAAGACCTCCAGGGATGGTGACTCCACCACCTCCCTGGGCAGCCTGTTCCAATGCCTCACAACCCTATCAGTAAGGAAGGCAATGGGAAGTGCCCACACAAGCAGGGACCCCCGTGCCTCCCTCTGACCCACACACTCGGCCCCTTGGAAGGAAGCCCGGGGCATCAGTGTCCCCCCGGCCCCCCACGGGGCTGGGCTGCAGCCAACACGCACTGGAGGCCAAGCCCCGACAAGGCACCGCGCACAGCTCCTGCCAAGGGGCCAGGCTCGTCTCTGCTAATTGCTATCTTAGCTTCTGAACTGACAGGAGGGAAAACAGAGGAGGCCTTCTTTCTGGCAGTGAATGCCGCACACACTGCCGCGCGCCCCATCCATCACCGATGGCCGCCGCTTACAGCAGTGAACAGTCCCGAACAAGTTCCTGCTTTGCTTCTCCTCCTGAATGTCTTTCACAACCTACTCCCAAGCAAACACGACCCTCTGGCGAGCCTGGTATGCTCAGGAAAAGCCATGAGTACAGAACACACAGGCCCACAGAGACATACAGGAGCTTGCCATACGTGCAAGCTGCAAGTGTTTCACCTGGGCACCACCACAGTAGAAACCTGAGGCCTTTTCTACCCCGAGGTCGCAGCAGCAATGCTCTGAGAGGACTTCTGCTGCCGCAGTTTGTTACCACAAGCAAATGGGGTTCTCGCCTGCACAGCATCCTGGAGAAACATTGCCTAATTTGATGCCTGACATTGCCTGATGAAAAACAAATATCAAATGTGGCATCAAAGCGACAGCCTGTTCACCCTGCCTCAGGCAGCACCACACACCACGCTGCTGAGGCCTCCGCTCCTTGCAGCACACCACCAGCACCACCATCACCACCACCACCACCAGCTCCTGAAAGGAGCAAAGCCTTCCCCAAGGCTCCGTGCACCGCTTCAGGTGCCCAAGTCTGGAGGAGCTTGAGCTCTTTAAGGGAAACTCCTCCCTTATTCCCATCCACCACCACAGCATCATGTCTTGCTGCAGCTACTGGCATATCCTGTGCAACCCCATCCCCCAATATGACTGCATTACAAACAAGGCTAGAAAGGCAACAACAAAATTTAAGGACCGCACTGAAGATGAGCAGGGAAAAAATTACCCACCACCAAACAAACAATGAAAGGACACACACTCTCAGGTAACACCAATTTCTACTTTGCATTGAAGGTGGCTTCTTTCAACAAAGCAAAAAAAAAAAAAATGAAAAGGAGAGAGAAAGAGCTAAAACAGCACGGGGGCGAGTGGCGAGAAAACGGGCAAATATAACCTAACAGCAGCTGTCAGCCTTTCGTATGACTAGAGGTTGAAAGAATTCATGACTTAAATCAGGCATAGATATGATATTTCATAGGTAAATAGCCACTCCGTTTCAATCAAGCTTGTCTACAGCATAATAAAAGGAAATTCTAGGAAGCAAAACACAAGTTACAAGCATAGACAGACATTTTGTTTACAGGTACATTTTACAAAAGAATGGTGTGTGTCTCTCTCTCTATGCAGTATATAGATAGACAGATAGACAGATTAGCTAGCTAGAGAAATCAGATATATTTGCTTGAACAGTCTCCTTACTCACAGAGGTTACTGTAGCTCCAGCAGTTACCCATTGGTCAAAGAAATAAAATGCACAGATCATCAGTTTATCTATAGCGATACCAGCTAATTCAATTGCTGCTGTTCTAGTCAACTGGAATCAAAATAGTTTCAAATTTCCTGGCAGCTGCTGCCCTGCACTGCACACAATGATGTAAATGGAAGCTTTCTGAGTATTATGAAACTGATGGGGGAACTGCAGTCTCATTCAGTCTATCGCCGGAGCTAAGGAGTCCACCTTGGCAGCTTGCAGGGGGAAAAAAAAAATCTCCTCCAGCACAGGCTGCCTGATGATATGCCAGGGAGATGTTTGTGCTTAACTGCCGGGTATTGTAAGAGGAATAAAGGGGCAGCATGGTGATCCTCAGAGTGGCGTGCTGGTTTCAGAGCAGAAGGCGCCTGACGGCTTTTCAGCGTTACTGAGCTGGAAGGGTTCACACAACAGTGCAGGCATCTTGCATTTTATTTCTCTGCAGCTCCTTGCGCTGATCACTAGCAGCACATAGGTGTGACTGCATGCAGAACCATACCATTGATCTTCTGTTGGGGGCATTTATTGCCTTTATTTGTAAATGGCAAATTAGGGCCATAAAAACAATGGGTGCACTGCATGGAAACGATCTCAGGGTGACAAAGTTTAATGAACAGATCACAGCAGTTACGGCACGGTATCATTCCTGCACCTTTCTGGAGAGGGGGAGCCACAGGCATCGTGCACTCCCTCGGGCAGAAACTTCAGCGGTAACTAAAGCTATTTGGATTTATCAAGCTGTGCCTGTGCAGGCTGAGCTGGAGCGGCCCCTGCCTGTGGGAGAGCAGGGATGCTGCCACACCACCGTCAGCAGCCCTTTTGCCAAATGATGTCATTCTCCGTGCCGTGATGGTCCTGTGCTAGCCAAAGCTGAGTGATTTACGCGATGCAAGCACTGAGGATTTCTAACCAGACTGCAAATGACCACATCTTGCTGCACGCACTGGGAGCACAGGTTTCTGCAGCTTGCAGCTGCTCTGGGCTTTTGGGCAGCTTGCTCACCTGGGGAAGCTGGAGCCAGGCCTCCACCGGCCCATCAGCATTACACAAAAAACAGGTTGGTGGAAATATAGGAGCTGACAGATGTAGGGAGAGCAGGGCAAAGAGGTAAGGGAGAGCTGCTTATAAAGTAAGCACGGGCTAAACATCACAGCCACCTCCACGTTTGCCTTAGCAAACACACAGTGGAAGTGAGGGGAGCCAAGGATACAGATGAGCCTATGCATAAGAAACGACCATGCAGTCTGGGATCCCTCACCCC